CCCTCCTCTCTCTCCTCCTCCTCCTCAGCCCGGAGAGCGCGCGCGGAGCAGGACGGTGCTCCCCTGCTCCCCTGCTCCCCTCCGCGTCGGTGGCGCTCCTGGGGCCCAAAGGAGGAATCGTGACCTGGGTTTTTGCCTGTGGCGATCCTGGGGCCCAAAGAAGGAATCGTGACCTGTTTTTTTGCCTGTGGCGTTTTTTTTGTTTGCCTTGCGCGCCGGGCTCCCGGACCCTGCCGGACTGCGCGCGCGGGGCGGGGAGGTGCTCCCCTGCTCCCCTGCTCCCCTCCGCGTCGGTGGCGCTCCTGGGGCCCAAAGAAGGAATCGTGACCTGGGTTTTTGCCTGTGGCGCTCCTGGGGCCCAAAGAAGGAATCGTGACCTGTTTTTTTTGCCTGTGGCGCCTTTTTTTTGCCTTGCGCGTCGGGCCCTCGGACCCTGCCGGAGAGCGCGCGCGGGGCGGGGAGGTGTTCCCCTGCTCCCCTCCGCGTCGGTGGCGCTCCTGGAGCCCAAAGGAGGAATCGTGACCTGGGTTTTTGCCTGTGGCGCTCCTGGGGCCCAAAGAAGGAATCGTGACCTGTTTTTTTGCCTGTGGCGTTTTTTTTTTGCCTTGCGCGTCGGGCCCCCGGACCCTGCCGGAGAGCGCGCGCGAGGCGGGGGGGGTGCTCCCCTGCTCCCTTGCTCCCCTCCGCGTCGGCGACGCTCCACAGGCAAAAACGATGTTTTTTGCCTGTGGTGTTTTTTTTTGTTGCCTTGCGTGTCTTTTTTTTTGCCTTGCGCGTAATCTCTGATTATGACCCTCCAACATTTTCACGGGTTCAGGGCGGGTGGTTTTCGAAATATGGCTCTCGCCTTAGCACCGCGCACATTCGTTCGAAACGTTTGCAAAAAAATCACGGATTCAGGGCGGGTGGTTTTCAAAATGTGGCTCTCGCCTCAGCGCCGCACACATTCGTTTTAAACAATGACAAAGGGTTCACGTATTGAGGGCGGGTGGTTTTCACAATGTGCCTCGCCTTAGCGCCGCGCACATTCGTCTTAACAAATCTGCAAGAGCTTCATGGATTGAAGGCGGCTGGTTTTCAAAATGTGGCTCTCGCCTGAGCGCCGCGCACATTCTTTTTTACCTGACAGCGAAGACTGATAGGTTTCTAATGGTCTCAAAAGAGTGCATCATGACTCCCCGAGGGGGTCCGGGCAGGATCCGGGGAGAATCCGCGGATCCGCCAGTGACTATGGGGAACGCACCACTGAGGCTGAGGCTGGGGCCCCCAGCGCCGCCAGTGACTATGGGGAATGCACCACTGAGGCTGAGGCTGAGGCCCCCAGCGCCGCCAGTGACTATGGGGAACGCATCGCTGAGGCTGAGGCTGCAGCCCTCAGCGCCGCCAGGAACTATGGGGAATCCACCACTGAGGCTGATGCTGCGGCCCCCAGCGCCGTCAGTGACTATGGGGAACCCACCGCTGAGGCTGAGGCTGAAGCTGGGGCAGGCTGAGGCTGAGGCTGAGGCAGGCTCAAGCTGAGGCTGAGGTTGAGGTTGAGGCTGAGGCTGATGCAGGCTGGGGCTGATGCAGTTGAGGCTGAGGCCGAGGCTGACGCAGGCTGAGGCTGAGGCAGGCTGAGGCTGAGGCTGAGGTTGGGGCTGAGGCTGAGGCAGGCTGAGGCAGACGCTGAGGCAGGCTGATGCTGAGGCAGGTTGAGGCTGAGGCTGAGGCTGATGCGCGCTGAGGCTGAGGCAGGCTGAGGCTGAGGCCGAGGCTGAAGGCAGACTAAGGCTGCACACGCTGAGGCAGGCTGATGCTGAGGCAGGCTGAGATTCCCGGGTTATTCTTTGAATGCGAGGAGCCAACTGTAGCCCACTTCGTGTTCTTCGTGTTCCCAGAACACACCTTGGGCTCCCCGCCGTCAAGGCGCAACTCCCCCCTGGGGTTCAGGAGCACTGGGGCATCTGCAAGAGGCCGCCCGCTCACGCCAGACTGTGGGCCGCGACGAAGCGAGCGCCGCTCTCCAAACGCTGTTGCACTACCACCATGGCGAAACTGCCCCAGGTGCTGTTGACATCACCGATGGCTCAGCCTTTGACTGGCTTCGATGGGTGGCGCAGATCGAGGGTGCGCGCGACGTCATCCGGGATGGCGTCCACAGGGTGTACGTTGTCCGCTGGACTCCGCACTGGGCCCCAGAGGCCGTCTTCTGCTACGGCAGCAACACGTACAGCACACTGGTGCCTCGCAAGGCGCGATACACAGGCTCATGGACACAGACGCGCTTTAGGATTTACAGTGACGCCAATTGGGTGACAGAGCCGTTGCTGTCTGCGGCCCCTGTGGCAGCTACGCCATGGCTGTTGTTGCGGGATCAGGCGACCTGGGAGTGATCTCTGGCAAGCGAGATGTGGTGCTTCTCGGCCTGCACTCGTGTGTAGCGCAATGCCGTGGCCTGCACTCGCGTGGTGCTTCTCAGCCTGCACTTGTGTGGTGTTTCTCAGCCTGCACTCGTGTG